ATATTCACTTACAGTTCAAAAACAAAATCAACTCCAAATTCGATATATCAAATAGTGTTCTAATTCGTTTAGTTCTTCAAGAAATTAAAACATAGTTATTGTAGTATGATCAGACATTGCAATATCTTTGATAGACATTTCTTTAGGTTTTAACATCACTCAAAAAATCAGATGATAGAATAAGCACAGTAACAGATTCATTGCCAAGGGTGTTTTATAAGTTCAAATGCACCACCATTTTCAGTTTGCGCTTCTCAGCAAAGTAGATTACTTCGACCTTTACTGCATTGCCTTTGATAATGTCTTGCAGTAGTGGGCGAAAAGAAAGGTATTAAAACCTGAATACCACGGCTAATGAACCTGCAAACATGTTCTTCAAGAAATTAAAACATAGTTATTGTAGTATGATCAGACATTGCAATATCTCTGATAGACATTTCTTTAGGTTTTAACATCACTCAAAAAATCAGATGATAGAATAAGCACAGTAACAGATTCATTGACAAGGGTGTCTTATAAGTTCAAATGCACCACTATTTTCAGTTTGCGCTTCTCAGCAAAGTAGATTACTTCGACCTTTACTGCATCACCTTTGATAATGTCTTGCAGTAGTGGGCGAAAAGAAAGGTATTAAAACCTGAATACCACGGCTAATGAACCTGCAAACATTGAACCTTGAATATGAAATATTGTTCATAATTCTGGTAATTTGAATTTCAAATAATTCACATTCTTTAGTAAATCAGAGGAATCTTCAGAATCCCTTTTCAGATATGAAAAATGTTTATTCATATGAAATAAAGGATTCAGGATGATACACGTCCCTTGTGAGTCAACTGGGGAATTTGTACTTATATTTGGCAGTCATAAAAACTTCATCAAAAAAATATTTTTCCCTATTAAAATTAAAACCTACTTTTTTCAAAAACTAATCGTGTTTTCTCATTATGTCACCTAAAAGGCTCACAAAAAAGCAATACATTTTCTGTTGGGGATGTTAATGCAGCCACACATTTCTTAGACTTTTCAATCAGACATAGAAAAACCAATAAAAATGCTACTATATGTTAATAAAATTAGCAATCACGCTGGTCTGGCAGACTGTCGAGCCGATTACGGCCAGTAAAGCATAATTAAAAAGGAATGATCAAGCATAAATATGTCTACTTTATGAAACTACTTTATTTATAACTGCTCTACTACAGTGCATTTGCGGCAATACACCGCAGTCTACACTACACACAGAGATACATACTACATATGCTAAAAACTAGTCACTATGAAAAATTATACATTACTTAAGTAGCTACAGTAACTTTTAAAATACATACGACAAACATCTAACGATAACGTCTATGTTACAAGTACAGTGGAGTACAAAGTGACAAGTATTTTTTGACAGTCAGATAGCAAAATACTGTTTTGGTTGAGGAAGAGTTTCTAAGAAAGAGACTCATGACTGTCAGAAAACATACTTTCCTACCCCCTGTCGGTACGATAGTTATACCTAGTTTTGTTCCTAACCAATTGGTTTGTCACATTCACTCCGACCCTCTGGAAAAACTACACTATATACAGCTGTCCTCAGTAAGGGTTCACTTGTTCAGTGAAACTAAACCATTTTATTCGTCTTAACATTTTATAATTGATTACAAAAATAGAGGGTTCATTCTGTCTCACAACGCTTATTGCTTGTTAACTTGATAATAATTTACAGTTACCTTAATGCCCTACCAAAGTTGCAAATCGATAGGAAAGCTGAGTTTCTAGCTGGTGATCTCTGCTATTTAAACTGAATTTTCCCATCTTGAACACTTCAAAAACTCTCCCATTAGATAGTAAGGTAGTGATATAAACTTTTTCAGAAATGAAGTAACGTGATTCGCTCAAAAACTTCATAGGCCAGTTTTTTAGCTGATATTTCATTGTGAATCAAGATTATCTGTTCTGCTAATATTGCATCATTGAAGTCAAGCAATGCCTTCGAAAATACTTTCAATTTAATAAACTCAGAAGTTACATACAGTAGAAATCGGTTTTGCTGTGAGATTTCAATTTGTAACATGCCTTACAATTCAAGAACGAAAGCTGAAAGCTCATAATGAATTTTAACAGGTAACAATTTCAAACACTAATTTTCACACAGCATGTATGTAAAAGAAATTTTTATTTCTGCTGCCACTTGGTATATGTAATGCTAAGTATATGTAATCTTGTAATGAAAAAGAAACAATAATTTGAGGACTGTAATAAATAAGAATATTGTGAACTCCTTATATCAACCCTGAACAAGCAGTGGGGTACCAGAATACTGCTCAATAAGAAACATATCGAATACTGGAAAAAAAATCCAGAAAAAATTGTTCAAAAATACTTTCCGAAAAAAAATGCTATGACAAAGCAGGTATCAGTTCAGAATAACTGTATTGTTCGCCACTGGATAGTGTCCCCTGAGAGGACACCTGAACAAAATAGGACTGCATAACAGAGTAGCTGCAGACAAATTAACAAAGGGGAAGGGGCAGCTTGACATATTTCATATGAATGTGACACACACTGGACAATAAAGAACCTGTACAAACTAGTCAGGGGACACGACTGAACATATTGGAGAAAATATGCAATAAGCCCATGAGGATGCTGTGTTTCTTGCTGTCAGATCTACCTATAATATTTATCCGAAATTGAATATACTTTGTCATTAGCTAATATTTTTGTTGACATAGTCTAGAAAAATTACCAAGTCATGAGAACTCTTTTCTAGACCACTTTTTCTGGTTTGTGCCATTACTGTGTGATGAATACATCATATATAGATTTTAGCAATATCAATCAAATTTTTTAACTACATTTTCGAAGAAGTATGGTCATAATTCTGAATACATTGAAACTTGCATGGTTTTATTTTCGTGTATATTAAATGTTTCATCTGAACTAAAATATTTCTTCTGACGGAAATATTTGCAATAATTTTATAACACACAGATGCAAGTAATGTTTTTTGGCAAGCAGATGTTGAATTTGTCACTAACAAAGTATGTAAAAGTTACCATTTTAAATTCATTAAGAGTTCTTGAACTATTATTACGATCAAAATATTTTTCATAATCGTTTGGTCACAATATTTTGCTATGAGCAACTTCAATTTCAGAGTATGGAACACATAACATCACTCTACATTTAGAACAATACAAATAGTTCCAATTAGGGAGAATAGCAAAACTCAACAGATCAAATTGAGATGCAACCTGGTGGAAAACACTTTCAAGGCTGCCCAACAACTATCACAAGACATCACCAGAATAAGTGTTTTCTAGGACTTCTAATTCTAAGCAGACTACAATATAAAAACATCAGTATGAACCATTAAAAATGAGCGACACGAAACTAAGAGCAAATCAGTTCTAGTACAATTGACATAAAAATAAGACTCATTTAGTTTTTGTACACCACTAAATTTTCTCATCGAAGGTAATATGTATATAAGCTGCACTTATTTCTTCTTGGGATCGATCGAAAATATATACTCCACAAGCTGCCTTTAGATTGTAAAACTCAGAGCTACCATTTCAAGTCCTTCGACAGTCTTTTAGTTAATTAAAAATTTAAAATGTCTTTCTGCCTTTATACAAATTCAAACACTTTCTTGGATTCAACAGCCTGAGATCCGCTTCACATAGTATAAGGCTGCTCTTAGTTTCGCTGAGCCACGGCTCTTGGCCAGGCCACAGACGCATTGGTCCGCAAATAACACGTATTAAAAAACTCGATGCACAGCTAATACGGAATGTAGGCAGGTCTGTCTACCATGTGAATGGGGAAGTGATGATACAGAGAAGGCAATGTCGCCTTGACTAGATCTGCAGAAACTTGAAAATAAAAAAGACTGAAGAGCCGATGAATGCTCGGCAAGTTATGGCGCAGCTGTACTAACGATTTCAATCATTTTACCCATGTAAAAACAGATTATTTACGAAAATGAGGTTGAGTACGACAAAGTGCTTCTTTAAATATAACCTCACTACATAATTTTAAGTAGATTTGCCGTAGGTGAAGTCCTAAATGTATTTTTATATCACTATTTACAGATATATATTGGTGGTTCAAATTTCCACTGCCTGAAGAAAGTTGACGACACATTTGAATACTAATATGAACAAATGAATGTTTTAAAATTTTAGGAAATATGAAGGTATGACAGGAATAAGCTAGTTTGTAGAGAAAACAAATTATTGTGATCTGGAATAGAAATGAATTGATATTTGTAAGAAAAATACAACAAAATAGTTGTTGAAATGTGAATGATATATAAGAATATAAAAATCCCTACGTTAGCTCTAGACCACTCGATTTTACTTTGATGGGTAAAACTTTTGTCTGCTATTTGCCATTTGTCCGTTCATTCGCCTTGAGCGTTTTTCTTATATTCACCAAAGAGGACCTCCAATGGCCTCTAGGCCTGTAACAGCCTCATGAAATCTAATGCTGAACACAATTTCAGGAATTCACGAGACATGTTTCGCTATTTACTCCTAAACTATAACAATTTTATTAAAAAAATCAGCAAACACGGATGTTATCATTCATAATTCTTCCCTCCACACATCGATATCAATACACCACAGTGTGATTAATGGACTAGTGAATGTTTTTTTTGTCCGATGTAAATATCAGTAAAAAACAAAATTCATAAAACAGATTCCGTTCAACAATGGTTATGATACCAATCTTATAGACAACTGAATTGCTCAAAAAATTAGCGGATTAGGCTATAAATGAAATTTACCCAATTATAACAGACACGAAGAAAAATTATTTGGTATTTGAGTCATTTTGAGTCTTACTTGAGAAAGCTTATTATCAGTGCTGCGGTTTTTTAAACATATCATAGTGAAAATACCGAATGTTACTAAATTTTTTTAACCTAATACCACATAAATGGGACAAGTCCTTCAACATTGGAACCAAAAGGCACTTGAAATTCCACTTTGGCGAACACAAAGAACACCCAGCAAGCAGAAACTGGCAAATTGGAGATAGCACAGAATGTTTGGACCTTTATTCTGTAATTCGCCGCCGAGAAAAAATTAATGATTTATGATGTAGTAGTTTGAACTGAATTGGGCATGTGATGCAGAATGTGTGATATTTCAAAATATCGCTTGTTATAAGCCATTATTCAAGCTACATAGGATCTGTGGTTATTTTATTATACTGTTGCTGCAGCCGACTACACCATTTTTGTAGCTTTTTTAACAAAATTACCCTGCAAGAATCAGCCAATGAATGATTGAAACATTGTAGAGCTTAGTTCAAAACCATTCTTTTTCTCTAATATTTTCTGTATTTTTTTTTGTTTATTACTGATATTACACGTATTTTTTATAATCCATAACATTATTTCATTTTCATTCCAGGTCACAATAATTTGTTTTATTTACGAATTAGCTTACTCTTCAATTAAATCTTTTTATAATTTTGATATTATTTTCATTTTTAAATCAACTAGTCCAAATATTTTGGCAATGGAAAGTTGTAACTTTCAATAAAAAACCATCGTCTACCATATTCGAATAAACTATTTACAGTTATTGTTTCGATGAAATGGTAAATAAACATTTGATGAAACACTTGAAAATCTCATTTGGATTTCCAACAGCAAATGAGTCAACATCACTATCCTATTTTATATCTACACATCGTTAATTTCATTTTGTAAATAACCTGTTTCACTTGTCCTACTCACTACAATCCAATAACGAATGAGATCAATTAACAGAGTATAATATCAATAAGTAGTTGATAACTGATAAACTCAATTCGTAAAAAATACCGTCCTATCAGTCAATTGATGAATACAATAATAATAAATTAAGTACTTACTAGAGATAATAATTTAAGTACACTCAACACAACCTTTCAAAATCGTTTGGTTATAAATAATTTATCAATTATTATTGCCATCTAACAGGAATATCAGGATTATAATTATAATACGGAAATTTGAACAGCACTTCTTTCAAGTAATACTGATTATTGCGAGTTATTGCCGAAATGCTAGATGAGCAGAAGAGGCGGCATCAAACAAATAGAGTATTCAAGCGAAGGTGTGATGCTTCAGATAACTGCCCATAGCACATCGCAATGAGATTCCATTTATGTACACAAAAATCGCCATTTGTTAAAACACATTGAGAACAGGCACGAGAGACGCCGCCATTGACAATTGGAAATGTATCGTTTGGAAGTCCCATGGGTGACCCAACACGCACCCTTAACACTTAAAACAATTAATACGAAACAACAGTGTGAGCAAGTGAGTTTGCATTCAAACGTACATGCCTACACCGTACATGGAGCCCCAATCGACGCCTTGGAACGTTGACATGTCGACATTTGTGAGGTTATAACCCTGATACGGACTGGCTGCTACAGGTGGTGCCAAAGCTTGGGCTGTGCCTGGAGCTTGGGCAGGGGGTGCTGCTGTCCCGGGAGCGGCACTAACGGCGGTCATGGGGTATGGAGAGTAACGATAGCTGGCCAAGTGAGGGTAAGCTCCAAAAAGCTTGCCGTAACCAGCCACAGCAGCTGACTGTGCTTGGGCTGCTGCGGTCGCAGATGCGGCCGCCTGTAGATGAACCTGGGCTTGCATTGTGGCCAGAGGATTGACAGCTATGGCTCCGGGAGCTGGAGCAGCCATACGCATGCCTAGACCGCTCAACATTAATCTTTTGCCGAGTAACTGAGCGTTGGCTTGTACCGCCTCTTTAGGCTGTGCTTTCTTGCATTCAACTTTCTTGTTTTTTATTGTGTGGAAATGAATCTCGCACACGCGATCAACTATGTCCTCGTTTTCAAAAGTCACGAAACCGAATCCCCGATGTCTTTTGGTTTGCTGGTCCATGAGCATAACTGTTTCTTCCACTTTACCATAATTACTGAAATAAGCTTTCACTTCTTCAGCAGATGTGTCCTGACTCACCCCTCCAACAAATATCTTCTTTGTTTTGTTGGGTTGCTTTGGTCGGTTTTTTGGGGTGGCATGTTTGGGATCTATCTTCTTTCCATCTAATGTATGGATGGGAACTTTCAGAACATTATCTACACTGGAAGGTTCCGAGAACGTGATGAAACCAAATCCACGGCTCCGCTAGAAAAAAAAATTATTCATAAGATATTGCATAATGTAAAAGTATCGTATAACAGATTGCTATTGGTCAATATCAAGTTCGTTATTGTAGATAATTCTATATAGCGATAAAAACATCCACACATTTTCTAATTAATGTATGGGAAATACCTAAAATAAAAATCTACTAGCACTATCCTTATGTGTTTCACCCAAACTATCAGCAATGCAATTGAAAAACGAACTCAAGTAGATACCATTAACAAAGATATCTCAAAGGCTTTTGACAAATTGTATCAAAAAAATATGTTAACAAAAGTGGACCATTTTGATTTAAACGCCAATTGAATTAAGACAGAAGGGTTAAATTTATTGAACATAACTAAAGATCTTAGACTCAAACTTAAGCATTGTTGAGGTTGATTTTCATATGATACTATGTATCTAAAAACTCATAGTCCACTTCATCGATTATTCGGTTATTATGTACCATGTTCAAACAGTAGAAATGAACTCTATTTACCTACATCATTTTACCCATGTAAAAACAGATTATTTACTAAAATGAGGTTGAGTACGACAAAGTGCTTCTTTAAATATAACCTCACTACATAATTTTAAGTAGATTTGCCGTAGGTGAAGTCCTAAATGTATTTTTATATCACTATTTACAGATATATATTGGTGGTTCAAATTTCCACTGCCTGAAGAAAGTTGACGACACATTTGAATACTAATATGAACAAATGAATGTTTTAAAATTTTAGGAAATATGAAGGTATGACAGGAATAAGCTAGTTTGTAGAGAAAACAAATTATTGTGATCTGGAATAGAAATGAATTGATATTTGTAAGAAAAATACAACAAAATAGTTGTTGAAATGTGAATGATATATAAGAATATAAAAATCCCTACGTTAGCTCTAGACCACTCGATTTTACTTTGATGGGTAAAACTTTTGTCTGCTATTTGCCATTTGTCCGTTCATTCGCTTTTTGAGAAATCATCACCTTGTGAGTGATAACTGTTGATGTATCTTAGATTAACGTCATCAATCAAAATGTTATTTGGATGTAGTGAACGCTGAATGTGATTTAAAAGGGATATAGTGCATAAGTTAAACGTCGCAACATATATGTTATTTCTTAACTGTATTGGCGTAACCCGTTTATAAATAAATAAATATAAAAAATGTGATTAATAACCCTAATTTACAGTACTATTTTTTCTAATACTTAAACTATTCATCACTTATTCAATATTTAGCAACTATTTTGTTCCTATATAAGCTTAAGAGTAGTGAATACAGAAAAAACAGAAAATCATTAACAATGTGACATGCAAGAAATATTCAGAAAGACTACCACAATTGACTGTAGAAAAGTATTCCACTCTAGGTACTTCGTGTAATTCTCAATAATTTTGTATCTTGTGTGTATTTTTAGAAAGTATCACCATTGAACGGTGCATGCATTTCTTATGGTGTGTATATAATGTTTTCTCAGTTTGAAGACTTTCAGAAACTTGAATAATTCATTATAATCCTGGTCTTTCAGTTACTTCCTGAATATTAATGGAAATAGCTAGAGTCAGGGAGGGAATAATTATACGTTGATAAATAAATCAAATTTTGAACAAAACAAAAACGCATTTTCTTTCTTAGGCCCGGGAATTTCCAGCCCAGGTGTTACTTCATATTTCTTCGACTAATTGAAGTTTGCAGTGTCAAAACATATTTAAAAATGGTAGAGTTGGAAAATTGTACGGGTCAATTGACATCTTTTTATAGAATCATTTGGCATATTTCAAGTGTCAGTTGGCATATTTCAAGTGTCGATTGGCATATTTCAAGTGTCAATTGGCAAATTTAAAGTGCCAATTGTTAGATTTCTAGTATCAATTAGCATATTTCAATTGGCATCTTTTAAGTGCCAATTGGCATATTTTAGGTGTCAATTGTCAGATTTGAAAAGTCAATTGTCAGATTTGAAACGTCAATTGTCAGATTTGAAGTGTCAATTGTCAGATTTGAAGTGTCAATTGTCAGATTTGAAGTGTCAATTGTCAGATATGAAGTGTTATATGGCAGATTTTAAGTGCCAATTGGTAGATTTCGAGTATCAATTAGCAGATTAGCATCTTTAAAGTGTCATTTGGCATATTTCAAGTGTCAATTGGCAGATTTGAAGTACCAATTGTTAGATTTTGAGTATCAATTAGCATATTTCAAACGTTAATCGGCATCTTTTAAGTATCAATTGGCATATTTTAGGTGTCAGTTGTCAGATTTGAAGTGTCAATTGTCAGATTTGAAGTGTCAATTGTCAGATTTGAAGTGTCAATTGTCAGATTTGAAGTGCCAATTGGTAGATTTCGAGTATCAATTAGCAGATTTCCAACGTTAATAGTCATATTCCAACAGTGGTAATCCACAAATTTGGGATGTTAATTTACAGACTTTTATATTTTTCGCATCATGGCTTCTTTGGCGTACCTTTTCCGTGGATCACTCTGTTTAAAGTTAAAAGATGTGCGATCAGCACGTCCTCCAGACAATTAATTTTCCTTACCTGAGTGACGGGATCTTTCATAATGAGAACGTCCGTGACGTTGCCGAACATCCCAAAATATTCCTTCAGCTTCTCGCTGGACGTCTGCCAGCTCAATCCGCCGACGAATAATTTGCCGGGCGCGGGGTCATTGGAAGTATTGGGCGTGCTGCGACCCGACGAACCCGAATGGCTGCCGTTGATGGGCAACAGGGAACCGTGGATGTCGTGATGCTCGATGATTCCATTTCCTTCGCCCATTGTAGAACTGTAAAAAAAATAATAGTTATTAAGTTGCACAATTTTGCGAAAAAATTGAATATGGCCAAAATATTGACCTGGTAACTCAAGGAACTGTCGTAGAATCGAGTTCTCAGACAGAAAATATGATTGTTGGGAAGGTATGAAGTATTTTATAGAAAATAACGGGAGTTTTCAAATTTCACGAGTTTGAAGAGTTCGATTGCTAATTTTTAATATTATGTTGGTATATCTGTCCCTGAAGTTTGATAAAAACTTCAGCTGTATTCATTGCTTACTTTTATTTGTTGAAACGAATGAATTAAATAATTTGTATCAAAGTTTGCGTAAAAAAATTGAATAAACTGAAATAAAATGTGTGAAAACTTAAAAAAAGTTCTACGGTGGGTCTGCCATGAGAAAAACAAGAGTTTACTAGTGGTATAATCGTTTCCAAGAAGCCTGTGAACACGTTCGGGACGGCCGGACGCCCCAACACATCAGAACCCAATAAAAATATGGAAAAAGTGAAAGAAACGGTTATGAACGATCGCCGAATCACAATCGGAGAAGTCTCTGATGATTTGCACAAAACAATTCGAAAAAAAAAACGGCCGGATTTGTTTGTATAACCAATTCATGGTTTTTATACCGCGATAATACACCTGCTCACACTTCATTGTTTTTCGTGAATTGTTTTTAGTTTTTGTACCGAGATAATGCACCTGCTCACACTCCAATGCTTGTTCTTGTATTCTTGGCCAAAAACAATACTGTAACGATGACCTAGCCTCCATATTCGCCAGACATGACTGAGTGAGACTTTTTTCTATTTTCAAAAATAAAGAGAACTTCAAAGCATACACGCACAGTTGAGATTAAAAGTGCATCGCTGAAAGAGCTAAAGTATATCCCAAATATCAAGTTTGAGAAGTGTTTCGAAGATTGGAAGAATTGCTGGCATAAGTGGCATAATATTTAGTGGGGACTATTTTGAAGGAGACGACATTATTGTAGAGGAGAAGCACTGGCATAAGTGACACATAATGTGGATAAATTTGAAGGCGACGACATTATTGTAGAAGAATAAATGAATATTTTTTTTTAAAAACAAAAATTCCCCTTATTTTCTGAACATACTTCGTATAGTTTATTTGCTTCAAGATGATTTGCGTTTCAACTTATATCATTCGTCAGATTTACTACTAGTCATTGGGGCTGATGAGTATTCATCCTCAGCATTTTACTGGTTAGAATGGTAGAAACCCCTAAATTATATTTTTTTTCTTGTACTATTCCCACTATGTAATGTAATTTCAGAAATTGCATATTGAATCTATCAGTAAATTAAAGTTTAGAACCTAGTTCGGAAAAAAACTATTTCACCTGAACATAAATAGATAATCAATTAACAAATTTTATTGTTTTCAAAAACTTACATTGTTGAGAAACATTTTTTTTTATTAACAACTCAAAGTCACGAACGTTCTTTCCGTTCTCTTCCTGAAGACATTTTTTTTCTGGTTTTCATTATTTTTAAACAATAATGTGCTAGCAATCGCGAGTTAAAAGGCAAGACCTCGTTAATCTTCAGCTCACAGAAGTTTATACTTTTAAGGGTTGTCATTCGTAAGGAGACAACTATACATCTTGCTTTGCAAACAAATAAATTAATATTTTGATAATTTTTTTTTCTCTTTTGTAGACGATTCCAATAGTTATGCTGGCTATTGCCGATATGTGCTGGGTAACATTTTGCACTGTGCAAGGATTCATCAGAACAGACATCATTTTGTAAGTATCCAAAAATACTGTTTTGAAAAACAAAAAAGTATTTTGAGAAATCATCACCTTGTGAGTGATAACTGTTGATGTATCTTAGATTAACGTCATCAATCAAAATGTTATTTGGATGTAGTGAACGCTGAAAGTATACGTAATTATTATTCTCAAGGATTCATCAGAACAGACATCATTTTGTAAGTATCCAAAAATACTGTTTTGAAAAACAAAAAAGTACTTTGAGAAATCATCACCTAGTGAGTGATAACTGTTGATGTATCTTAGATTAACGTCATCAATCAAAATGTTATTTGGATGTAGTGAACGCTGAAAGTATACGTAATTATTATTCATTCACGAAATTATGTAAAAACACATTTTCAATGAAGAGTCAAACTGAACAGTTGGAAAATGAATATACTTGTTTTGATTGGATAATCTATTCTTGCATATATATTTGAAAGGAGTAATAACTATTATAGCCAGTAATAACTATTATACCATATCTTCAATAAATCCAAGGTTTATATAAAATAAACAAGAAAGTTGCTAGACAAAGATGTAGAAATTATCAAAATTTATGAAAACAAAAATGTTGTGAATAGATTACTGCTTGGAGAAAAATTTTTTGGTTTTCTACTTCCCAATAATACAGAAGAAACTCTCATCAAATCATTGAAAACTTGCTAATTTTGTCTACCTTTCCTTAAAAATTTCTGATTTTTTATAGACTATCGTAAAAGTAGAAAGGCAAAAGGTTTTCCTTAACAAAAATCCCAACACCAACAGTCCACAGTTCATCTCCTTATCTATCCTAAAATTTGAAATTGTTTGGTATAATTTTTTCGATAGTAAATTATTAAAAAGGTTTCTATATAGCTTTTTATTTGCTGAAGTTAAATGATATAATTATAAACTTTTACTAAAAACACTTACACTTAAGATCATAAGGACCCTTTTTCCCAAAAGTAAAGACCAGTACCAATCCTCTTTGCATAAAGGAAGCTTGCCTATTTTCCTTGTTAGTTTTTCTTCGAAATCGATTATTTTAATACAAAAATTAACATAGCATGTTGATGGGGTAAGGACTATTCTAAATGTGTAACATTAGGTCGTTAAGTCTCATACGTTCAAAAATAAATTTTGAACCCCAACAAACGGGACTCCCCTCAGTCTCCTCGTAATACAGCAAGCACAAATTAAATAAACAACTGGGCGTTAAGAAATTATCCAAGATTGTCAATAAGATTTCTGATAACTGTGATTAAACAACCTACTGAAGAATGCATTGTACAAACTAACCAATAAGACTTTCAAGAGAAACCATACTCGAAACATTCTATATCCAAAATAATTCTGAAGAAACGGGGTTATATCTCCATCGTCGCAAATGAATAACGCTTTCCTAATATTGAAAAGTAGAAAGGCTTTCCATAGCTTAGAGAAGAATGAACGGACGGACCAAAATTCAATTTCCGCCAACTTTACCAAGCTGTTATCCTGTTGCTTATCGCGTATTGATGCCCAGGAGATGAATGAAATTTCATAGCGTTGCGTTTGTTGCAGGACCAGAAAGAGCAGGCAGCAGGGAGAGATGACGGAACTTCTACTTAATCCTGTAAACCGGAAGGTAAGGATCGGTGTTGCCACATTTTTCGAAGGATATGTTAGGAAAAGTTTGAATTTTCATGAAAGATGTATCGGATAATGAAAAAGGGAAGATGATTTTTCACTACTCTCATTTTGATATAACAGGACAATTATGTTGATAATGATATTCAAAAATCCATCTGTGTGTCCCAAATAATTCTTTAGAAGTAATTCCATCGAAAAAACCTTTTATAGGTTATGAGTCATTTTGGTAAAAAAATTATCGCAAGAGATGCATTCTCTTTCCACAAAGTCTCTCTTATATGGAATTGTATGTATGAAAAAAAGCTGGATGTCAAGCATAAAGTTTAATTCTTAACAAGCATTTTTTTATTCAAGGTATTGAACATAAAGTTCTTACTATCTTCAAAATCTATTAAATAGACAGTCTCATATTCACATAGTCAATCTAAGAGTCGATTTATTCACCAAATTACACCATTATACCAAATAAGCTTGAAGGATTAAAGATTTTGGCTTTTCACTTCTCCATCATGATACAAAAAGAAGTGAAAATCTTCCAAAGTAAGGAAGGAAGCAACCAATTTAAAAAAAAATCAAGAATATCATGTGAAGTAAACAAAAATTGTGGACACTCAAATTATCGAGTGAATCTTATCATTTATTAGTTGACAATTGGCCAAGAACAAGTAACAAAATTGACACTTTTTGGGTAAACAAGATCTACGAGTAACAGTAATACTAAATAAAATATCCAGTTTCATGTGGAGATAAAATAGGGGATATGTAGTGGTTAAATGCTCCGCATTCAATGAATCATTTCACATACATATATCCACAGGAATTAACGACAAGGTCTTCTGAAACAGCATCATCAATTTCCATTTCATCATTAATAACAGATCCACATAAACACAACATATATGCGCCATCAGACTATTCTTATTCATAAAAAGCAAAATACGAAAACTAAGTGCTAAGTTCGATTACGACTTTATTTATGAAACGAGTCAATTTGCCCACAAAAGATACCGGTTAGTAAACATTTTGATAGTAATTAATTTTTGTGCGTTTAACATTTTGATAATAATTAATTTTTGTGCGTAAATATGTCCGTTACAAAGCGGATGTTCAACTGTTTGTTCAAAAGTGAGAATGAAACCTACAGTTTCCGTGCCACAGAGATCATTCACCTATATGGAACAAAACAAACTGATTCAAGGAAGGTATTTTCTTATCTCATGAATCACGCTTATCAGCTTAAACAGGTAATAATTAAAAATTTTTGTGCTCAGAGAAAAATTGACTGGAAACGCTCAGTGCAGTGATGAAGTCAGGTGAATATTTGTAAACTTAAACGAAGTACTAAAGTTAGAAATACTATCGGAAAAATCAACTGCACTGAGCAACGCGAATACACAATTTCATTTGAAGTATGAATTGTGAGAGTTAATTTATCAATTCTAACAATGTTAACACTACTAATTTTAGGTTTTTTAGGCGAAATATATTTGCTGGATTATTTTTTTTTAGAAAAAGCATATTCATACTCTGCTATTATGGTCATTAGATTTGTTGACAACAATCTCTTGATAACAAGGAGATTGCGGTTGCTGTATACAATTTCATTTGAAGTATGAATTGTGAGAGTTAATTTATCAATTCTAACAATGTTAACAGTACTAATTTTAGGTTTTTTAGGCGAAATATATTTACTGGATTATTTTTTTTAGAAAAAGCATATTCATACTCTGCTATTATGGTCATTAGATTTGTTGACAACAATCTCTTGATAACAAGGAGATTGCGGTTGCTGTATTTCTCGATATTGAAGGAGCATTTGACAATGCACTACCTGAATTTCTAGGATCGTTTCTGGCTAGGAAAGGTATAGAATGAACCACAACTGGCTGGATCAATGCCATGCTGGTAAACAGAACTGCAACTAAGACTCTTCAAGGCGAGGCTATTAGGTTCAGGGTCACCAGAGGATGTCCTCATGGTGGTGCACTATCTCCACTTCTGTGGTCGCTCCTGATGGATATCCTCCAGAGTACGATGAACGTCGTCCACAGTTGGTGTCTGAGGGATCAGATGTCTGTCAACCCCAGCAAAACTGTGATAATCCCCTTCACCAAGAGGAGAAAATTGGATGATCTAACGCCACTTTCCCTCAATGGTGAGGTCATTCCATGTGGAACGAAGGTGAAATATCTTGGCATTGTCCTTGATAAAAAACTCACCTGGAACGTTCAGTTGGAAAAAGTTTCACACAAAGCCAGACTGTCCCTATGGACATGTTGAAGGATTTGTGGTAAAACTTGGGATTTAGGTCCCAAACAAATCCACTGGATTTATGTGATGATTTTCAGATCAATGATTACTTATAGTGCAATTGCCTGGTGGCTGAAGGCTTCACAGAAAACGGCCCAGGCGAAGCTCTCTGGCTTACAGAGACAGGCTTGTCTGGCCATCAGTGGTGCCATCACTACCACACCGTTAGCGGCCATGGATATCCTTCTAGATCTACCTCCTCTCCACATTTTTCTGGAGAGAGAGGCTAGATGGACTGCATATAGACTTGTTTACATTGCCAATTGCGCGAATCAATTTAATACAGACTGCAACAGACTGTTGGTTGACACTGGAAGTCACAGCATTCTGGAAATGACCTCTGACTTTATGCCTCCAACTGTCAACTACGAACTGCCTTATAAAGTACTGCTCCCGAGTAGACAGGACAGGATTCTCTGGGAGAAGGAAAGATCAATAGACCCACTCACTTTGTACCTAACCTAACCATTAGATTTGTTTATAGATTCTGTTATGAGGCGGTTATCAGAACTCCCGGATATACTTGCAATGAAACAATTCAATATATCACTCTTCAAACTTCAAATTTATATAATATGGACTCTTAGATCTATCAACTCTTTCAATAGCCATTGTAGTCCAGTCCGCAGAGTTTTATCTTCCAAAAGGTCGGGTAAAACATACCTATTTTTAAATATGTTGTTCAAATGAAGATCCTAATGAAAAATTCAAGTTCTCGACTCAAAAAATTACACAAAATTTTCTCAGAAAAACGTATATGTTATGAAACGACTTTGGTGATTTGGAATGAATTGAATGTTTAAAATTCACGGCAAAATATTATTTCACGATTATACTTCAAGATGAGTTATTGTCTGTGCAGGGATCGAATTCAAATACACTGCTACTTCAAACTAATGAGCATACACTTTACGTCCATCTCAAAGCAAAACAAGGTTGTTACAAAATTTCATTAGGTGAATAGCTTCAAATATGGAGAAACAGCTGAAATCATTGATTACTTTCAAACATTCAGGGTCTTCGATAAGTGGCTCTTAAAAAAAATCTCAAGACTAGAACCTCTAGCATAGAATAAATCTAAAACGAGCGCCATCAGGTTGGCTTCTTCATCTCCTGAAGACGTCAACTTGGTTGGTGAAACGCGCGCCCAGTACAGTATTGCAATTCTGGTGATTGGGAAAAGTGCATGTTTTGGATTTACCAATGATATATATAGGAATCAAGATAACGACCAACAAAAAACATCTCAGACTTAAGGGCGCCTTTTTAGTGGCTTTTATGTGGTGACGACATAGAGAAGGATACACTGGAAGAAATTTCAAGGGTTTTTAAAATAATTGGTAATTATGTAATGGTATTTTAGGTTCAGAAACTACTAAATCCAAAAATGGAATATTCACTTCAAAAGAGTGAGGTGGAAACTTGGTATCGTCGTGATACTGCTGTGAAAGACAGGACTGAAGTGATGTAGTCTGCAACTATGCAATAGTGAAACATGGAAAAACTCAGGAAGATAATTGCACAAAGTACAGCGTGCCAAATCTAGGAAGCGACTTCAAAGTCTAGGCTGAGAGCCAAGATGCGCGTTTGTTAGGATACTGTGTGTGAGAGAGAGATAATCCTCCAGTCTCTTCCAATTCTGACAAGCTGTATATAGAATATATAGAATGAGATAGAATATGCGAACAGAAATGTAAGGAATTTTTCCTGCTGCAAATTACAATTCTGTCTTTTGCTTTTTGGGAGAATTTATCATAATTCGATCAGTTTTGGAGAAAATCAAAATATTCCTTCAAAAACGAATGTCACCTAGTGATATAATACATAAGAGACTTCAATCAGTTACTTTCGTTACGGGAGAGAAATAATGCTGCGGGATTTTTCATCACTAGAGAGAGAATCGATGTTTTCGTTGTGGATACACCACCACCGAAAACATTTTTTCTATGTGGGGTCGTGGAAAAAAATTATTTCCATTTCGGCAACAAGGTTCGCCGCCGACAGCCGTGTACAACATAACCCCGATCAATATCCTCCCCGTCCACGTGTATATACATTAGTGATGTGGGGTGCGGCCTGACGGCGGCGCAACGACGTTGCCATGGCGTCGACCGAGCGAGGGGTAGTGCTCATCTCCCCCATTCCGACGGAGACATCAGTCAGTGTTCGCGGCGCGAAGTGCGACAAACACCCCATAACTGCCTCCAACAACAACACCAAAACCTGCCTCCAACATCCGTCACCGTCGCACCATTAGCTTTTGGCTGTGATATTGTCCTGTCACAGCAGTACGATTTCGAGATACTGCTGGAGCGGGACATGCCCACAGCTTTGGGCATACATCACCAGGATCTGTGCTTGACGAAGAAGACGTTCTTTTTGGCCGCCTCCTCTAGGATACCCCGGTGCTTTATTCAGAGCTTTTGTAGAACTGTAGATTTTGGCCTAGTAACGAACACTGTTAACTTAGATACTAGTTATTTTAGTGTAATAAGTATATTGATTGTACGTTGACCCCTGATACTCTTCCTTCCCTGCACACTTTCGCACCGTCCCCAGCTTTTTATGTATCTAGTCGTAGTTGTAGTTTAAAACGCACAGGTGTGTCAGTTTACCTTTAAAAAAGAATAAATACGATTCCTCTACTTTTTTGGGTGTCATTGTTTGAGGGGAGTGACGATCCGGTCGATACAGACCGACGTAGTTACGTAGACGGCCGCCTGGTGGCGCTACAAAATTGGCAAACACGTTCTGCCATCTTGCGAATACTTTCGCATTTCACAGATAGTGAAAGATGACGTAAACGAAAGCGAACAAAGCTGTTGTTCGAGAGGGTGGGAACGGAACATCGATTTGTTTGTAAGTCAGCTGGAAATGACGTTCTGAAATTTATTAGTTCCTGGTGTATAAATCAATGTGCTTCGTTCAGATTCGTAATCACAGTTGCCACGCTTAGTGAAAAATTATTGGGGGCAGAGTACAATTGCCTGCATTATGAAAAAGGTTGAGGTGGGGATGAACTGTCACAAAAATTAACATCCAGCAAATGAATAAACCAAATTGCCACAACTCGTAATGAACCTGGCTCGTGGAGGTAATATTAGTCTCATGGACAATACAACGAATAAAAAGTGAATACATTGTCATATAATTTGTATCCTAGCCCTACCCTTTTTTATACGTTTTTATTTAGAACAGATTTATTCGAATAATTTTTTTTTAATTGCTTGTTAAGAAGGGTAGTCTTTGCTGACCAATTAGAACATAAATGTTGCAACTTTTTAGGGTGAGGCAGCAATATTTGTATAATTATTACTATCATCTTCAGGGAGATAAAGTTTCAACTTGTATTTCTGCATAATAAATATTTAGTTTTATCCTGGAGACGGTAATAAACATTATCGAAACAATGGATTCACTTGTGTTATAAGAGTACACTTCCGTTTTGCTGTTCACCCAAATAATTTTCATGTCTTGTTTTCAACTGGTCACCAAAGAATACCCTTCAGCGATAATGTGATAATGGACCCGGACATCATCTGCTATGACATTAAGAAAAAATCCTGAAAAAATGTTAAAATATGTATCCACATATTTTTAAATGAATAAAAAATTAGGTGGTGGTGTCTTCAGAGAATTCGTAGACCGAGACGTACCCTTTATAGTTCATCAAAAAATCAAATAATAAATTTATCTGATTTGAAGTAACACTTTTTTGTCATTATCATGAAATGTTTCTGGCATAAACTGTGAAGGCGAAAAAATATAAAATTGTATTAGTATATACTTCATGGACATGTTGTCTTTTGGTCTTTGAAGAAGTGAATCAGATTCAACCGGAAGTACTGTTGATTATTCCATTCGAAATGTCAATAACTCAAGGACAAACGTATTTATGAAATCATAAATACAGTTTAAATTGACAATAAAACCAGGAAAATGATTGCTTATGGTAACAATTAACAAAGTAGTTATTATTTCATTTAAAACAAAATGACGGCTAACAGTAAATATATGATTTTCAAAGTGTTCAACAGAAAAACGTAGGTATATTTCATTTTAATTTTGATTTATAAATTTTTTATGCAATGTTTTCACAGCTTTATTGAAGCACGCTTTGACATTTTTCGAAAGACGATTTGGAAGATTAGCTATCATCGAGTGGCCTGCGCATTCCCCTTATCTTATTCCATTGAACTATTTTTTATAGGTGTGTTTAAAAAAACCACGGTTTGGTTTCAATGAATAAATAGCTAATTTCCAAAATGAAAGATTTGATAAAACATTTTGAATTTATTTCTGGATCTTCAACGTACTTTTTAACTGTGTATTTCACGTTCGGATCATAATTTTATGAAATACTGAAAATTTAAAAAACACATTCAGATTTGTATGTAGACAACTTTTTCCGGAATTCAATTCGTCTCCGACTTTTTGCAGCATGTGTTGTATTATGTTCTGATTTTCTTGCCTGGTTCGGTATTTTAGGTCACAAATACATCCCAGGATTGGTAGATTTCAAAAAACCTCATAAAAACAGGTCTGATGGACAGAGATCGGATGATCTAGCGGGCCATACCAATGTTACCCTCCTTCCTATCAACTGATCTGGAAAGGTTCTATTGAAACCAGATTCTGCAGTCTAGAGGATTGGATGTTTGATTATTAGAAAAACGTTATATAAAATTATGAATTATTGTATATTCATTTGTAGGTAATACAGATAAAATGCCTCCGTAGAATTTAAAAAAAAATATAAGCCAGTGATACTTTCTTTTAACCAAGTATTGAAAAGAACTGTTTGAAATCGATCAGTGCAGTAAATGCATGTAGGTACGATTCGAATAGTGAATAAAGAGTAACATCAATTTTGTAATGTGAAATTTTTTGTAAAACTCGATGAGAACCGAAAAGAAGCCATGGATTATTGCGCTGTACGGTGGAAAATAGTGATCTAGTGGTAGAAAACTTAGAGGGTGTATATAATACAGTAATATTATTGTCCGTGAAGAAAGACGAGAAATCGCCGTATGTAGCGCATTCCAAATTATACTCGGTAATTCGGTAATAAAGTATAGATTTGACTGCTGACCAAAACACGGTCTGCGTGAAAAATACTTCAACAGAAACGGTGGAAAAGTATTTTAGAACCAAAGGAGGTGTCTTACATTTGGTATGTAGGCTAAGTATTATTTCAACAGGGCGGTAATCCTCATCTCGCGAACAGACGAAATTTTTTAATTAGCGATGTCGAAATATCCGTATACAGGGCTATGATTGTTGTGGCTATGTAAAGTTACTTCATAGCCTGTTTTATCAATCCCACAACACAATTCGAAAATCTAATCAAAAAGCTCACATGCAGTGCACAGATGATTTGTTTTCTAAATTAAAAACGGCCGCAGTCAGAATCAATACTGTTGATTGACAACTTTCCATTTTTGGGTGAACATTCACGATTGTCGCTTTGCTAGGAATTATTTTCTAACACAATTGAAACTGACAGTAACGGGGAATGTGAAATGTTTGAAAAGCACGGCCTGAGGCTGCTCTTAATACAAATCAATAATGCCGAAACAGAAGGAGAACAGGGATGGGGGAAGAAGTGGCTGTATTACGTTGCGCCCTGCCGGCGAAATACGGGGTTACTCACAAAGAGGGTGTAAGTGTTACAATAGCTCGAGATGAATTCGTCTGATGTCGCCATAGAGTGACAAAGGCTACATAAAAACTTATTTGATATGAGTAATTTTCTGGGAAAGAAAGTTTTTGGCTTTCTACTACTCCATCTTGATACAAAAAAATGTGGGAATATTCCAAAGAAATGAAGGAAGTAATCTATTTTAAAATAAGTAACTCTATACATGGATGAGTAGATCATGCAGAGAAGTAACTTTCAGATGCAAACTGGAAAAGGAAGCCTTGAAACAGCTACTTTCATATAAACATTGAATTACACGAAAGAAAAATTCTTTCGAAACAAATACTTTTATATGAACACTGAATTATACAGAAGACACTATTCTCTACTCAGTTTGTATTCCAAACATTCGTTATGGAATAAAATCAGGTATCATTCACAGGAGTTCCACACTAAATGGATGATAAAAAATTTCACTTACATGGAACACTGTCATCCTCACTGGTATACATGTTTCGCCGTAAGACACTTGTCTTAGGGTTGGCTATTCAGTATCAATCTGGATAACATTATACGAAAAGACACAGTTTGTGTCTGAGTTACTTCTTTGCATGATCTACACATACATGTATAGAATTACTTATTTTAAAATTGATTTCTACTTCCTTCTTTTCTTTGGAAGATTCCCATATTTTTTGTATCAAGATGGAGTAGTAGAAAGCCAAAAACTTTTCCAAAAATTAGTCACTCCAAAAAATATAACCCTTTCTAAGTAATTTTCTGTTATCGATAGTTAAAATTATCCACCGACCTGTAAATGTTATCGTAGCACCGTCAATAATGACTTCATCTGTTGTATACTTTAATACTTATTACTTATTAAAAAAAAGTATCACTAAAATATCCAATTTATTCAGGAAAATAAAAAAGCGCATATTACTGGCATGTTTTAATGATTATTGAAACTTTAAAATAGTTTTTCATCTTCCAATGATGCCAAGTCAATTAGCTAAACACGCGTCGAGAGATAGTGTCTTTGTTCTGGTGAAAGAAAAGTGTTATCATTTTTCATTTTACGCCACAGTTTTCCAATTCTACCTATCAGATTGCCGATAAAAATTCAGTGGTTTACAACGTTTCGAGACAATAAAAAATGCACACAGCACAGTTTTTAAGCTAATCCATATCTTCAAGATTGATTATTTTTTATTTTGAATACTTATTGTTTTGAAAGATCGGCAAATAGTACCTGTGTTTAATTTTGGATATTTTGTTAGGAATACGAGAATTGATCTATTTTGAAATTTTGATGGTAACATATGATTAAGGAATTACTTTTTTACCATTCATATCGTCTATTGTAAAAACTATTTTCATCATATTCTCATTATATCCTTTTGAAGCAATGATTACTGACTGAACAGTTAAGAAGCTGAAAACCTTTTGTTTCTCATAGTAACTATTCATAATTATGTTTCTATTCAGGGGCTATTATAATTGTATACTGGATAACATTGAAGGTTATTTTTTGAAGAACTTTTCCAATATTTTTCAATTCTGTTTGCAGGAATCGATTATTCGCAATCGGTTCTATGGGTCTAGGTGTTGAAGTCATCTATATTTTCTTGCATTTTACAGCCTACGTTCGATTTAATCATTAATTTTTGGATTTTCAATGATTGATTTTATTTCGGTGAATCTTATATGCATGTAAGGGGTCTTCCAACAGGAACTTTGACAATTGATAACGACCATCTTGTTGAAGCTACATCTGACAAAGTACCCGTTCTAATGATTAAATTGTCTTATCAAAATGGATGTTCTGTCCGGGCAACGTACCGCGCTTCGCCCATATTACAATCGCCATAATCGTTCTACCGAGAGGAATGTTCGCAATATGTTGGATAAATTTGAGTCCGCTAGTTTAGTAAACGATCAACCAACACCCAACCACCACGTCAACGAAACGCAAAATCCGCCGAAAATATTGCCGCTGGCTGTGAGAGAGTGCAGGAGAATCCGAAGCAGTCGATTTCACGTCGCTCACAAGAACTCGGCCTTTCGCAGATCACAACTTGCCGTATGTTGCGTTGTGACTTGTGCCTGCACCCGTACAAAAATCAACGGACCCAGGAACTGAAGGTAAACGTCCACATACAACGTCGTGTGTTCGCTGAATGGGCTCTGGAGCAGTTGGTAACTGACCTTATTTCCATCTTCAGCGATGAGGTCCATTTCTGGATGAATAGTTACGTGAACAAACTGATTTGTCGAATTTGGAACGATACCAATCCATATGACATCCAACAGCGTCCTATGCATTCCAAAAAAAGTCACTGTGTGTTATGGATTTTGGGAGAGCACTACAGGTCGATGATTACCAACTTCTTTTGGCCAGGATTGGTTGATCTGGACACCAACGACAAGTGGTTTCAACAGGAAGGCGCTACGTGCCGCATTGGATATTCTGCACGAGCGATCTGAGGGCATGGTCATCTCACACGGAGGTGATATGAACTGCCCGCTGAGACCGTGCGATTTGACCCGTCGCAGGTGTATGCAATGAAATAAGTCACAGACCACTGCGGTCCTCAAAGCCAACATAACCCATGCCATCGGTCAAATTCAGCCAGATTTATGAGCCAGAGTCATGGAAAATTGGACACACATGTTGTTTTATTTAAATTTAAAGATAGGAAGCTCTTAATGAAAGGCCCTATACACCCCATACAAAACGCTGGACCTTCAACTAAAAACTGTTTCCAATAACAATTCGTAAAATAATAATTACCATGTTCAAATCAATAAAATGCACTCATAGCAAGGAATGCTATTTTCCTTATTTTTATCTACCCCATTCAATACTTGATTGATAAATCTAAAAGGTGACATAAAATTATAGTGTGATGAAGAAATGATTTCATTTTCAATGAATTTGTTTATCGTGCACATTGAATAGATATAATGGTTTTGTTGCTAGTACTGGAGCATGACTATTAGTTCGAAAATAATTGAAACATTGCAAGATATTATCGAATATGTCTATTTTTAGAAATCGATTTTGTTGGGGTCATTATCGGTAATTGTGATGAATAATTTCTGACATGTCTTCAATGGTGTGGAATTCAGAATTAAGGTCATTTGACTTCTGAACTACACGGTGATAAAGAGAAAAACTTTGGTATGATCCTACATATATAGGACGCTTCTTTTGAGCGTAAAAAAAATTCGTGCTGTAATATCGTAATTTTTTATTAGTGTGGTATTTGTATTGAATCGTTTTTTTCTGAGCAAATCGATATACGATTTTCTGGTTTTCGTTTATGAAAAAACAAACATTAATTTGTACTGAGTATTATTAAGAATTAAAACCGCTCGTAAAAACGTAAGAATAGATTTTGTTGTGTAAACATAAATCATTTTTGGTAGCCAGTCTAGTCTGACTATTAATTAAAATAAACAATATGGAAAATGACCATCCCGAAAAAGTTATTTTATACTGACACCGAAGAAATTATGAAACCAGTCAACTTAACCTTTTAGATGATGACATTTCTACATAAAAATCAATCCCTTTTCGGCTACCCCCTCTCATAATAACCCATATGTATAAAATTTCAAATGGAATTATAAATTGAAAGATATCCCAAGCCCTGTAACATGTTTTGATATTACAATGATAAGCAATTACAAAAAAAATTATTATTATTCAAGTTTGTGTATAATTTCGAAGCAAACAGTGAAACTAAACAAAAAAATTACATCATCAATTGTTCGAACTGAGCACCATTAACTCAGAGAATGTCATGTGTTGAAGTACAATTCCAAAATAGTAGGCACTGAATTCCTAAAAATATTGTTGCATTAAAACGAAAACATTGTTGCCGAGGTTGTGATTATATATATTTTATCATGATTTTTCCTCAACTGTTTAGTATAATTGCTTTACGCACTACAAGAGACAGATTAAGGAAAAAACGTCAGTCATTTTGTGAATTTTGTTTCTACTATTTTGGAATTATAGTATAGTAGCCTACAGCACATGATAATTTCCTTTCTGAAATTTTCTACAGCAGTTAGCCAAATCTCGTAGACTTT